ACCCTTGGTCTCTATCCGACGTCGCGGTAAAGAATCCGGTTTATTGATTTTTAAAGTTTATGGAACTTTTAGAAGCCCCTCGCGGTGGGCTCCAGATGAAATGCTGAGGGCGTGCTCACAAGTGAATCTACTATGAAAACCCAAATATAAACACGTTCACACTCCTCGTAATCAGCTTCTCAGTGTGTGAAAGATGCGAGGGCTTCGGGGTGGACAGAGCACCAGTATCACAACTCTCAATAGACGCAGATCCAATAGTCGCGGAGACGGAGTCGACGACAAGAATATATATATAGCAAACAATGGTATCTCAACCAATATCTTCTATACGAGCACAACCAACACTAATACAATCCACAACCAACGATATAACAAGTCAGAGCTTAATACGAAGTATTAAGATCCCTTGTAGCGACAGCGTCTAGATGGTGACGCAAAGCCCAAATATCAAGTCGACGCACTGCCAACCGATACAACCAATATACTGAGTCGACGCACTGCCAACTAGTAGAACCAGAATGTCAAGTCGACGCATGTGACAATCGACCCAAAAATAAAGTCGAAAAGAGGAGTGAATTCGAAGACTGGAGAATACAACCAAGTAGCTACAGTATTTATACCCAAATCCAGTCTGAGTCATATCTACAACTAATGAGTCATAGGGCTATGTACCGCATGGAACGCTGGTCATGGGTCGTAGTAGAACCTTCTGGAGCATATGTCGCGCAGTCTCGAATCGATGAAGATAATCCCTGAAACCCCTAGTCCGGACCATCTGATGCCGTGATCCGTGATAAGATAAGTTGTGCCAAGATAAGATAAGATCGTTGATGATAAGATGAAAAAGTGGCCGAACTATGACATTACCCCCTCTCTAGGGTCGATGTCCTCATCGACCAGGCCAATGGGTAAGAAGACGTTCTCGTAAGGGTCGAAGAGCTGTCGTTGGGGGTATGGAAGGCGCTCGTCCCTGGGCTGGTAGCGATGAATGAGATAGTCCCAGTGTCCAGCTTCGAGCGTTGGCAGGAGGCGAATGCGTGTGTCTGGATTTGATTGTTTCCTCTGCCAGTCTCTCAGGACGTCCTTTGCGTGGGTAAGGTGGCGTGATGGTTCCCAGGTGTTCTCGCTGTGCGGCCATCCCTTCCATTTGACCAAGTACTGTTTTCCTCGGCCGACTTTTCGCTCTTTCACGATTTCTTCGACTTCCCACTCCTCTGCTCCTCCGATCATCTTGGCCACGGGTCTCTTCTCTCGGCGATGGGGGGGTGGTTCGTGATAGGGTGTCAACAGTGACTCGTTGAACACCGGGTGTCTTCGGTCCGTGTTCGGCAAATCCAGCTTCCATGCGGCCGCTCCAACCTTCTCCAGTATCTCGTATGGTCCCAATCTCTTGTCGCTCATCTTCTTTGATGGTCTATCCGTCTCGATATTTTCCCCTTCTATGTACACCTTCATCCCAACCTTCAACTCCGGAACTTCTTTTCTTTGTTTATCGTAGTATTTTTTCATTTTTTCTTTTGCTTTTTCCAATGCTGCTTTTGCTTCGTCTTGTATTTCTTTGATTCTTTTTACAAATTCCTCCGCCGACTCGTTCCTTGATTCCATCCGCTGCTCCACTCCCTTCCATGGGTGATATCCGTGATTAGCATAGAACGGCGACATTTTGGTAGACGTGTTCATTTTGTCGTTGTATGCGAACTCCGCCATTCCCAGCCACTCCGACCAGTCCGTCTGATGGTAGTTGACGTAAATGCGGAGATAGTGTTCGATCTCCTGATTCATACGCTCCGTCTGTCCATCCGTGATGGGGTGATATGCGGTCCCCGGATTCATTTCCACGCCCAACATCCGATTCGTTTCCTTCATAAAGCCCTTGATGATGTATCGAGAGTCCCTGTCAGTGATGATTTTGCGGGGGACCCCGTGATAGCGGAAGATTCGGTCCCTGGTTAATCGTGCTACTCCTTCGCTGCTGATGTCAGTACTAATTGGTTCGACATGGATCATTTTGGTGAAGGTGTCACACCACACATGAATTGCGTCATACCCGTTACTGACCGGCAGGGGTCCGATCTGATCCATGGAGATGATTTCCCACGGCGCGTTTGGAACTGCATGCGGGTGCAAACTCCCTGTCCTGGCTCTTCTGGTCTTGGTCCGCTGGCACGCTTCGCACGTCTGGATGTATTTCCGAATTTGGTTTCCCATCCTTGGCCACCAGTAGTTCCTTTCCACCATCTCCTGCGTTCGGTTGATCCCGGCGTGTCCGACCAAAGGGGTGTCGTGGTGTAGTCCGATGATTTTGTCCCGCAACTCCTCGTCCCTTGGTACGTAGAGCTTCCCATGGTACGTGATAAGCCCCTCTTCCTTCTTCCATCCGGCGAGTGACTTCTCTAAGGCCGCCTTGACGCTTCCATCAATTGATCGAATGGCCTTGATTTCGTCGATTAGCTGCTGATCCTGTCCCTCGAATGTGACTTCTTGTGATCGGAAGAACTCGGGCTTCAGTAGCGTGACGTCCTTGTTGTCGTTCTTGCCCTGATCGTGATCTGCTCGTCGGGACAGGAGGTCCGCCTTGCGGTTGAGTGCGCCGGGTCGGTGTCGTAAGGTGAAATCGAACTCCGCCAACTCCGTGATCCATCGTGCTTGCCGTCGATTGAGCTTCTGCGGCTTCCGAAAGTACTCGAGATTCTGATGATCGGTGAAGATCTCGAACGTTTCCGTGGCTCCCAGGAGCAACTGCCTCCATTCGTCAAGTGATAACATAATTGCGAGCATCTCCTTGTCGTAGATCTCATAATTTCGCTCGGTTTCGGTCAATGCGTGCGAAATAAATGCGATTGGGCGCCAAATGCCGTCTTGGTTTTGGCTCAAAACTGATCCTGTTGCCCCTTCCGAAGCATCGGCTTCCAGACGATATTGGCCAGTGTCATTTGGCAGTGCTAAGACGGCATCCTCCGCGATTCTCTTCTTTAACCCATCAAACGCCGCATGTTCCTCCGGACCCCATGACCATCCTGCCTTCCCTGTCAGCCGCGTCAACGGCTTGGCGACCTCCGCATATCCCCGAACGAAACGTCGATAGAAGTTTGTGAATCCGAGGAAGGCTTGGACTTGTTTGACGCTCTTTGGTTCCGGCCATTCCATCACGCCCTTGATCTTGACAGGGTCCATCCGCATCGAATTGTGTCCAATGATTACACCCAGGTATTCGATTTCCGTGCGTTCGAACTCGCACTTTTCCGGCTTCAGGTATAATTTGTGCTTTTGGAGCAACTCGAGTACCCGTTTGGTGATTCGTCGATGTTCATCCAGATTTTCTGTGAAGATTAGTATGTCGTCCAGATACACTACCACATGTCCCTCGTTGATCAGTTCCCGGAGTATGTCGTTCATCATGTTTTGGAAAGTTGCCGGGGAATTTGTGAGACCAAAGAACATAACCAAGGGCTCGTAAAGTCCGCGGTTTGTGCGAAACGCAGCCTTCCACTCATCGCCCTCTTTGATCCGTACGTTGTTGTATCCCCACCGGATGTCTAGCTTGGTGAAGAACTTGGCGCCGCACAGGTTGTGGACCAGTTCGGAAATCAGCGGTAGCGGGTACCGATTTCGGATCGTCATCTCATTCAGCTTCCGGTAATCTTGAACAGGCCGTAGCGAGCCGTCCTTCTTCTTGACAAAGAAGAATGCCGATGCCATGGGTGATTTTGATGGCCTGATTCGTCCGCTGGCTAGGTTCTCTTGTAAGAACTCGTCGAGTTTGACCTGCTCGTTTCTCGATAAGGGGTACACCTTGCAGTCCACTGCTTTGGAGCCTGGTTTGAGCTCGATCGCATGATCCCATGCCCGTCGGTCCGGTAGCGAGTCGAATGATTCCTTGGCAAATACTTTGACGAATTCTCGGTATTGATCTGGAATCTTTCCCTCGGTCATTCTCTCCTTCTCCTTTTCCGCTTCTTCTGCGAATTTCTGCGCCGGCGTTTCCTTCAGCCGTAGGTCTACCTCCTTTCCAAAGTCGATCAACAAGATCGATTCTCCCTCTTCCAGATCCGGTGCACCCGCGTCCAGGTCAATTGCATCCATGTCAATCATCGCTTGGTGCTCCTCGTGACCCCTCATTTGACATTGCTCTGGGCATCGGCTGAATCTCATTGTCTGCTCCTGCCAATCCACCTCGGGGTTGTGTTCCGTCAGCCAATCCAGGCCGATGAAGATCCGGGCTTTTCCCAGACACGTCAGAAGGAACGTGCGTGTCTCCACATGAGGGCCGATTCTCATTCTCAAGTCGACGTAGTGTGTGATCCGACCGCTGATGTTCTCGGTGTTGTCGGCGTTACGAGCCACAATGGGTTGCGGAAGCTCTTGGATATCCAGCTTCTCTGCCCGTGCGTAGTCGGTGTCGATGCAGCAGGTACTGCAGCCACTATCGAGCAGCGCCTTGACTCCACGCGTTTTCCCTGAGTCCAGGCCCGTGATCTGGACATATACGTCCATCGAATGCCTCTTTCTTTCGGCTTGGTAACTGCGCAATTCCTGCGCCAATCTGCTGGGCTGGGGGCCCTTCTGTTTCTCGGTTGCCAATTTCCGCTGGATGGCATCTGGCACCCTGGTGCGTTTGGGTGCTTCTGGAACCTCGATTTTGGCAGATTCCTTGGGCGCTTCCTCCTTTTCCAAGGATCGAGCCTTCGGAGCGATGCTCCCCTTTTCGGTCTTTGTTGACGTGGTTCCTTCTCCACGAGCCATAAATACGTAGGAGTCCAAAAATAATTTATCTGCAGCTTTCTGATCCTTTTTATCTTGTAAGTATTTTCTATTTAGAGCTATCTTTTCCTGGCGTTCTTTTTCCATCTCGGCAATAAGAAAATCGTGAATATTTGTACGTAGTGAGTCTGAGATCGTGTATGTAGATGAAATATTGTCCGTATCTTTAATCGAAACAAGTACCGAAAATCGTCCATAGTCCGGACGCTCCACCTCCTTGGCTAGAGGAGTGGAGCGCTTCAAAAACCCTTCTCGCGCAGCTTCTCGGCAATCTCCTTCAGGAACTCGTTGTCCTTGTCCCCGTTCTCGATTTCCTCCAGCATTGTGGCTCGATTGAAGAACGTGCGCTTCTTCTTGGGCTCCGGGCAGTTCCGCGCAATGTGCCCGGGCTGCTGACAGTTGTAGCAGATGATATTGCGGCCGCGGGCGTGGGTACGATCGATTTCCATCGGAACCGGTTCGTTGGCAGCGGGTCGGGCCGGAGCGGGTGTGGACGCCACTGGTGCCGTTTGGGGACGGAACTGGGGAGGTGGTCGTTGTGTGGGGTGCCCATACGACGCTTTGCGCAGCTGGTCACGCAGAGCGTTGGCTTCGATGTTGATGCACCAGGCTTTGAACGCTCCATAGGCCTTGGGCAGAGGGACACCGGTGTTGTAGAGACGGCTGGCGATCTCGCTGCTGAGTCCGCGCTCCAGGAACTCGATGAGGATATTATCCTGGTCCCCCTTCTTGTATTCGCCTTTGTCGTCGGTGGTGTCAACCACATTGTAGCCTGCATCCGCGGCCAACATCTCAAAGTCGGAGATGTAGTCCGCGAAGGACCGTTTGTTTTGACGCAGGGCCATAAGCCGAGCAGCGGCGACTTGTTCCGCATTGGAGTCCCCGAACGCCCTCTGAAACTCCTCCAGGAAGTTCTTTGATGTGACTCCTGCCTTCAGTCCCTGGAAGCCATCGAAGTTGTGCTGCTTCCAGTTCATCGCCCATCTCGAGGCAGCGCAGCTCGTGCCGTTCTCGTTACGGAGGTAGGAGAGGACAAAGAGGATTTTGGTCTCATCTTGTGAGAACTCCGATCGATAGGCACCGATGTAAGTGGTGCACGCGTCCACAAAGCCCAGGTATTTGGACTTGTCGCCATCGAAGTAGGGGGGGTTGGCGGCGAGGGTGATGCGGTGATGCCCTGACATGGTAGGGGCAGGCGTGTGAGGTGGAGGCGAGGGTGGTTGTTCGGAGGGCAGTTCGTCGAGGTCGGGGATCTCGTCTTCAGGCGGTGGGAGGGCGAGGTAGGGGTCGGAGGGCCCGGGTTGGTTTTGATGCGCCAGATCGGGCGACGATGGTACGATGGGGGGAGGGGATGGACTCCCAGACGACGATGGGAATCGGTACGAAATGGTGGATTCGTGTGCTGTACAAGCACTCGAGGAAAGGTTCTTTTGCTAGCAAAAAGATCCCGGGCCTAGCTCTTCACGTGCCCGATGATCCCGAGGTGCGTTTTCCCGAAGGTCTCCGCAGCACTCCTTGTAGCTACCGTAAGGCTTGGGTCGGGCTCAACGTTACCCGTGGCCTGGTGCTGTTTGCTTGATATGAACCCTTCACTGCGATAGTGGAGGACGACTAGATGATTCGGTAAAAGGGTGAGTGGGGTGATAAGGTTTAAGAGGATATAGCGGGCGTAGCGGTGCAAGATGCAGGGTAAGAGGTATGAGGTAGGAGGGTATGAGGGGAGTCTTCGAATTATGTGACAATCGACCCAAAAATAAAGTCGAAAAGAGGAGTGAATTCGAAGACTGGAGAATACAACCAAGTAGCTACAGTATTTATACCCAAATCCAGTCTGAGTCATATCTACAACTAATGAGTCATAGGGCTATGTACCGCATGGAACGCTGGTCATGGGTCGTAGTAGAACCTTCTGGAGCATATGTCGCGCAGTCTCGAATCGATGAAGATAATCCCTGAAACCCCTAGTCCGGACCGTCTGATGCCGTGATCCGTGATAAGATAAGTTGTGCCAAGATAAGATAAGATCGTTGATGATAAGATGAAAAAGTGGCCGAACTATGACAACGCACTGCCAACTGACACAACCAAAAGTACTGAGTCGACGCACTGCCAACTAGTAAACCAAAATGCCGCGTCGACGCACTGCCAACTAACAGCCAATATCCAATGTCCAAAACCCGAGCACAACTTGTTGACGCACTGCCAAGCAAGAAGTGTGGAACCAAAGTTCTCAAGTCGACGCACTGCCAACTGACCAAAACAACCCGAGCACAACTAGTCGACGCACTGCCAAGCTAGAGGTGTGGAACGATCTCAACAAAGCCCGAAGGCGACGACACTAAATGCCGCGACTAAACCAGATGCGGCGAATCCGACTTTCTGATGTCTCAACTCAAACTCAAATCACAGTAGCTACAAGTGCTCAGGGAGCAACTCGTCGCGACCGGGCAGGGGTAGCAGAACTTCTTAGGGTGGAATCACGCGGCACGCAAATTGTACAAAACAATCTGATATGAGAGTGATTCACAGTCCGGGGGAAAGCTCCTTTAATACAAAGAAACGACGTGCTACTTATACTGTCTACGACGATGCTTAGTAAAGTCCTGTACAACTGCATAGTAGCTACGCTATCTAAGATCGGTTGCCTTTTAGGGTAATTGAAAGTTGAACGATCGGACAGGTCCTGAGTGATCAGGACCCCGCCCCATAGTCCATATGATACTTTTGATGTGGGCCAACTCACCGCGTCATACTTTTGGAATACGACGTGCTGGATTGGCCAACGGGTATGTCTTGGCATGTGAGACCAACGTGGGCGCCCCAAGAAGCCGTATGGCCCTAGGCACGCCAGTCGTCCCCCACATGGTTCGGCTCACGGATCTAGCCGTGTCAATTTCTAGTGTGTTTGGGTGTTGACGCGAATCGCCGTGGCACTTGGGAGTGTCACCGCGACGCGTCCTCAATGTCCCGTGATTGAATGGATCCTGACATGTGACAAGTCGTCGCCGTGGCATGATCTGAGGAAACGTCCAACTCAAAACCGGGAGTTGCCGCGACAAGATGGTTTAAGTCTCGTAACGCCAAGTCCTGTCCAGTAGTAGTTCTATTATTGAGAACGTCGCGCATTGCTCAGCCCTTCAGCCCAAGTTCCCATCTGCAGAGAATGACCCTTTTCGAGAAGTCGACGCAACGACAGATCCCTTTTTGGGGGAATGGTCGCGGTCCAAGCGTTCGTCACTAATGGCCCTGAGCCTGGTGTAGACTCATAAGACCAATTCCACAGTAGTGATCTGACTGCCTTGCTATCGTCGACACTATCCACAGTCGTCGACTGGGCAGTAGACCCTTAAGTCCTACTGAGCGCAACACTGTCAACCGCGACACGATACACCGAGTGGTTCAAGAGTAAACTCTGTAAAAGCGCAAAAATACGCTCTTACAGAGCTGGTGCAGAGCGCGTCTGGTAGCCAGCCTATCACCGCGTAACACTAAAAACAACGACGGATCTACCGAGCCCTACAGTTCGTCGAAACCGACGACCAGTCCAGACGAACCAAACCCTGAACGGGATTTTCAAAGAGCTTCGAGGAATTGACCAGGTTGAGTCAAGGAGAAGAAGTCGCGGTGACTGTCGTTGGGAAAGGATGGAAGTGTAGTGTTCGAGGATCTAAGGAAGCTGCGTTCTAATGGCCAGTTTACCCAAACTGAGCTAGTAGAAGCATATATCTTGTCGTCGAAAGAGGACAAGGAAATGAAGAAAGACGTCGCTGCGTCGACTTTGTTTCATTCATATATGAATGAAAGACTCTCAGGCGCGGCAACGGAAAAACTGACTGTTGGTACTTGGAGTGTACTAGACGACGACTCTTCTAGTCGCGACAAATACTCTGTGTTTGCAGGAAAGAAATACAAACCTGTAGACCAGAAAGTCAGACCAGTGTACACTATGGGTTCTGAGGATGATCGAATAATTCGAGAAATGGTGGGAGATCCTTTGGATACGCTACCTATTCTAAACCCGCGACCACCTGATTTTACCCCAACTGGTAGATTCACGGCGGAACGCAGGGAGATTGTGGACAAGCTACACAAAGGGGACTTCTTATTACCAGAAGAACGGAAGTTGCTCATGCACTTCTATATGCTTCACAATCAAAGTTTCGCGTTCAATGATGAAGAGCGTGGCGCATTGAGACAGGACATATTTCCTCCTGTCAAGATCGCGACAGTTCCCCATACAGCATACCGCGAAGGGAATATTCCTATACCTCGCGGCATGTTCGATCAAGTGTGCAAGGTCATAAAAGACAAAATCGCGGCCCAGGTCTACGAACCTTCCAATTCCTCTTATCGGAGCAAGTTCTTTGCTGTACTTAAGAAGGATGGGAAGAGTATCAGACTGGTGCACTCGCTAGAACCACTCAATGCAATTACTATTGCACATTCAGGGTTGCCACCCGCGACAGAGGAGTTAGCAAACCACTTCGCCGGTCGCGCCTGTGGTGCTGCGCTAGATTTGTACTCAGGCTACGACCAGCGTGACATCGATCCAGCTAGTCGCGACTTGACTACATTCCAGTCACCGTTTGGTGCGCTGAGGTTGGTCAAACTCCCACAAGGATGGACCAACTCAGTACCCATATTCCATGAGGACGTTACTTTCATTTTGAAAGACGAAATCCCTCATGTTACTATTCCATACATCGACGACGTACCCGTTCGAGGACCTGGAACCAGGTATCTGTTACCCGATGGAACCTGTGAAACAATTCCAGAAAATCCTGGGATCCGTCGCTTCGTATGGGAGCACTTTCAGAATGTGAACCGCGTCGTGCACAGAATCGGCTACTGTGGCGCGACTCTGTCTGGTACCAAGTTGGTGGTTTGCGCCGACGAGTTCGCTGTGGTTGGCCATATCTGTTCGTTTGAAGGTAGAAAACCTGACGCGGACAGAGTTGGTGTAATCATGCGTTGGCCAGACTTGAGAGACGTCTCGGAGGTTCGACAATTCATGGGCACGATTGGGGTCATGCGGATGTTCATTAGAGGATTTTCTGAAATGGCGCGACCAATTCAGAGACTAGTGAACAAGAACGCGCATTTTGAATGGGGTGACAAACAGAAGCTCGCATTTCAAAGACTTAAAGACGCGATACAAGTCTGTCCGTCGCTTAAGCCTCTGAACTACGAGTGGGACTCTGAGATTGTCGTCGCAATAGACACATCCTGGATGGCCGCGGGTTTTGAAATATACCAACGCGACCCAGATGACCCAAAGAAAGTCTATTACGCGAAATTTGGGAGTATCCCACTTACAGAACGAGAAGCTAGGTTTTCTCAACCGAAGCGTGAACTTTATGGTGTGAAGCGCATGCTTCAAGCCATGGCTCACTGGCTTCTTGGTTGTAGGAAATTGGTAGTCGAAACCGACGCGCTGTACTTGGCGGGCATGCTAAGGAACGTTGGTAACCTACCAAACGCAAATATCAACCGTTGGGCTGAAGAGATCCTCATGTTTCAATTTACCTTGAAACATGTCAGAGGAATCACTTTCTCACCAGATGGCTTGTTGCGACAACGACCTGCACCTGGAGATGAAGAGTATCCCAATGACGAAGAGGAAATCTTCGACGAGCCACCACCAGAGAACAACGAAAATTGGGACTACGACACAGAACAACCATTAGACTTTGAAGAGTTCAAAAGGGATATTGACACCAGAGGTGGCTACCTTAACTCTATGGTCGGGTGTGCTGAGTCGGTCGAAGACATATCCAAAGAGCTCGTCGAAGCTTGCGACTCTCGTCGCGCTGAGAATCGGCGTGTCAAAGACGCATATGACGCTCAAGGACTCGTCGTCCCAGTCCTTATGTTGAACGATGTGGCAAACGGAGAGCCACTTTTGCCTGATCTTGAACTGCGCGACAATCCTGAGGATCCCTATATTGAGGATCACCGGACGGGCACAGGGATTGAACAAGACAATAAGTTGGTAATGGCTAGGAAGTGGTTGAAAGACACGTCCATAAGGCCTGAAATGACAGATAAACGGTTCAGATCGTTTCTCAAATTCTCGCGACAATTTTTCCTCAAAGATGGAAAAATGTACAAGAGATCGACCAATGGGATTCATAGACTGGTCGTGGACAAGCACCACAGGACTTATACGATGAAGGCGTGTCACGACGCGCTGGGTCATAAGGGTCTTTTCAGCACTAAGAGCCTGTTGGAAACTCGGTTTTGGTGGCCTGAGATGGAAAGAGACGTCGACTGGTGGATAAAGACTTGTCATAGCTGCCAAGTCCGCCAGAAAACTCTCCTCCGCACTCCACCGACGCCGACTATGACCCCAAGTGTATTTCAGAAGATACATACGGACGTCATGATTATGGGAACGCCTTCCAACGGATACAGATATGTTGTCGCGGCAAGGGATTCCTTGACCCGCTACGTGGAAGCGCGACCGCTGCAGGCTGACAACGCCAAGGCAATAGCGCATTTCTTACTCAAAGACATAGTGTGTCGGTGGGGGTGCCCTAAGTGGATTGTGACCGACAACGCAGGACAATTTGTCGCGGCGTTGAATTGGTTACAAAAGAAATATGGTATCAAGGGAATAAGGATATCTCCTTACAATTCCCAAGCGAATGGCACTGTTGAAAGAGGTCATTGGGACATTCGACAGTCACTGTACAAAGCTACAGGGGGAAACGCCTCCAAATGGTTTTGGTTCTTCCCACAAGTCTTGTGGGCAGACAGAATTACAGTGCGTCGCGGGCTGGGTTGTTCACCATACTTCGCAGTATGTGGGGCCCACCCTACCATCCCTCTGGATATAGTCGAAGCTACGTGGCTAGTCGAATATCCTGACCGGATCGTCGACTCTGCGGATCTCGTTGGTCTCAGGGCACGCGCTCT